TGGTCAAATGCGGCTTAGTTTCAGCGTGTAACGTTAACCGGTGCACCATTTAAGGTGGAACGGGAAAATTCCACGGGTGATAGGAAGCCAGCGTTAACTCGTTGTGTTTGTCGTTGCCGTTCTCTTTATTTAATACCAAATATTCGCTAAAATAAGTGATTTGGAAACTGACTAACGTATATTTTACTAAGTCTGATTAAATGCGGGTGAACTGAAGGAGGAGTATAGCTCGCTAGCTCGCAAAACGTCAATGTTGCTCTCATTATTTTAGTTGGTAGACAACTCGAATCACATAACATTGGCCAAGTTAGCATAATATAACTTATTTACTGCTTATCCAGTCAGTCAGTAACTACGTTAGCTGTGTAAACAGATAGAGAAAATACGATCTTTCTCTTCTGATATCTTTGGAGTTGATCTTGAACAGTTCTTAGGCAGAGACGAGCAAACGCTTGCTGCTAAGGCGCTAACCGGGAAACAACATGATTTAGCCGGCGAGCTAACTAGCTAGCTGCCAGTAAACCTAATTATTAGTTAGCTAACTTATTAATAATAGTTGATTTATTGATACTGTTTGGCATAAACGTTAGCTGGAATAATCATCTAACATAAGCTTGCATCCTTTTTTGCAGTCTGTGAGTATTAAGACGCTTTACTGTGAGGTGCTCTGTTAGCTGTCGCTAGCTGTTTTCGTAGCCGCTGCTAGTTGGTCAGACAGCTAACGTTACACGCTTGTAATGATGGTTCTTCAAGGGTTCTTTATTAAAAGGAACGGTTCTATTTACTGTGAGTTCTATGTAAAAACATTTGCGCGCTTAATGGATCTTTGCATGGTGATTGTTTTTCAGATGGATGGAGAACGTGTTGTAACCTATGTGGTTTAATACAGAAGGGTTTTGTCATTGTGACACGCTTGACATCGTAACTTTCGCAGAACATTTTTGGTGATAAATAGAACCATTTTCATGAAGGTTCTATATGGGACCAGATACAACACCTTCCCCATCAATCTGAAGAACCATTCCACCATGCAAAGAACGATTTAAACATGCAAATGCTTTTATGTAGAACTCATGGTTCTATGTAGAACCAATGTCTTTACTAAAGAACCATTGAAGAACAATCTATTTTATACATGTACTGAGCTCATTACTAGTTAGCCGCAATATCAATATGATGGAGGATTTGTGTTGAATGAAAGAACTAGCCAGGTTTGGTTAGTTATCCTGGTGCTATATAGAACCTTTTTCAAGAAGGTTCTACATAGAACCATATAGCACCATTTTCAAAAAGGTTCTATATAGAACCACACATGTTCCCCATCAATCTGAAGAACCATCCCACCATGCAAAGAGCCATTTAAAAGTGCAAATGCTTTCATGTAGAACACATGGTTCTGTATAGAACTGCTGTCTTTACTAAAGAACCCTTGAAGAACAATCTATTTTATACATGTATTGAGCTGATTACTAGTTAGCTGCAGTATCAATATGATGGAGGATTTGTGTTGAATGAAAGAACTAGCCAGGTTTGGTTAGTTATCCTGGTGCTATTTAGAACCATTTTCAAGAAGGTTCCATGTAGAACCATATAGAACCATTTTCAAGAAGGTTCTATAAAGAACCATATACATCACCTTCCCCATCAATCTGAAGAACCGTTCCTCCATGCAAAAAACGATTTGAATGTGCAAATGGTTTTATGTATCAGTATGATGGAGGATTTGTGTTGAGTAAAAGAACTAGCCAGGCTTGGTTAGTTATCCTGGTCCGCTTTCCACAGATTACAGTTAATAGTATGTTGTATTTCATTTGCATGCAAAGCATAGACAGTTTATTTACTTGCTTGCTCACAGTAAAGGGGAATTCCACCATTTTTTCAAAATCTCTGTGTAGTTCAGTCCTTGAGATGTAAACAGAGTCATTTACAGTGTTATGATGTGAAATGGTTCATTGCAGAGAAACTTACAGACTCTGATTTCGTTCCAGTGGTGCTGATAGGAACCAGGGGTCATGATGTCTTCAACCTAGATATAGTCATTTTGTTTACTATTCAAAATGACCAGTGAACCTACACGTTTTTGTATGTACTGGTGATGATAAAATAGTCATAAATCTGAAGTTTTCTTTGGGGACTATTTTGCCTTATAACACCCTGCATGTACCCCTCTGTCATGAATGGATTAAAGTGCATTTTAATCCAAAACTTTATCTTAAAAATTTAAATTAGACAGTGAATTAGACATCATATAACTAATAACTTCATATACTAACTATCTGTGAGGGAGGGTTTAGAGGTGGACATCTGGTTCCCATCACCTCCACTATGAACAATACTGACCCTGTAAGCTTCTCTAGAGTGGAGCGTTTCACACCAAACCACTCTGAATGACTTTGTTTACATCTTAACCATTTAATTATGTAGAGTTTTTGAAAAATCCCCCTCTAAACATTATCAGGCCTGCAGTGATGGTGTCGTGGTAGACTGACCTATCCAAGCTTTACCCACAAACGCAACTATGGCATATGTCCAAAAGTCCGTAGACACTTGCTCACCCAACGTTTCTACTGACGTCAAGGGTATTATTAGAGAGTTTCTCCCTTCTTTGGTTGAGTATCAGCCTCTACTCATCTGGGAAGGTTTTACACTAGGGCTGTGTTCACACAGCAGGCAAAAGTGGCCCAAATCTGATTTTCTCACCAAATCTGATTTTTTTGGTTTGGCTGTTCACAAGATATTGACCTATATGCGACATTAACTGTTCTTTGACACTGCAGCCTCGTTCTCCTGCGGCCACGTTCAGCTATTTCTATCACAATCTCCTCGAACACAGAGGGGTTTTGGATGAGTCTCTTCAAATTTTTTGTACAGAAACGTCACCCCAAGTGTTTATGAGGTCTCAGGAGCACAGAATTACGGCGAATGTCGAGTTGGATTGACGTAAAAGCCGCATGAATTCCGATCTGCCTGTTCAGACTGAGCCGTGTTGCTGCACATCGGATACATATCGGATTTCAGCAGCCAAAAGTTACCGTGCTGTTGGGCTGCTTCTGCCCGTTGTGGCAGAGTGCATGTGCATGTGATGTCACTGGGGCTGAGAGTGTATGTCTGCAGCCAGACTCTGACATTGTCCATTTTATCAGCTCCACTTACTATATAGGTGCACTTTGTAGTTCTACAGTTACAGACTGTAGTCCATCTGTTTCTCTGCATACTTTGTTAGCCCCTTTTTACCCTGTTCTTCAGTGGTCAGGACCCCCATGGACCCTCGCAGAGCAGGTACTATTTGGGTGGTGGATCATTCTCAGCGCTGCAGTAACACTGACGTGGTGGTGGTGTGTTAGTGTGTGTTGTGCTGGTATGAGTGGATCAGACACAGCAGTGCTGCTGGAGTTTTTTAAACACCTCAGTGTCACTGCTGGACTGAGAATAGTCCACCAACCAAAAATATCCAGCCAACAGCGTCCTGTGGGCAGCGTCCTGTGACCACTGATGAAGGACTAGAGGATGACCAACACAAACTGTGCAGCAGCAGATGAGCTATCGTCCCTGACTTTACATCTACAAGGTGGACAGACAAGGTGGGAGTGTCTAATAGAGTGGACAGTGAGTGGACACAGTGTTTAAAAACTCCAGCAGCACTGCTGTGTCTGATCCACTCAGACCAGCACAACACACACTAACACACCACCACCACATCAGTGTTACTGCAGTGCTGAGAATGATCCACCACCCAAACAGTACCTGCTCTGTGAGGGTCCATGGGGGTCCTGACCAGTGAATAATAAAATGGTCATTTAAATATGAATTACTACTGATTTTGGTACATAAAATCCCACAAGTGTCGTAAGTGGAGCTCAGAATTAAAATACAAGAAGAAAGCATGATATGGGCCTCTTCAAAGCATGCTCCTCTTCCCCAAATGGGAAGATTATCTCTACTGACTTCACAGCCTTGGCTGTGTTTCTCTAGATGATTGCCTGAAGGTGAGAGTAGATGAAGAAGAGGCTTTTCAAACTGTCATTTCTGTTTGTCAGAAGTGTCTCGGTTGATCGTAGCTTGTCAAACTCTGTTTTAGATACCGAAGATGCCAGTGAAACAGACTTGGCGAAGCATGATGAGGATGACTACGTGGAAATTAAGGAGCAGTGAGTATACAAACAGACGTAGTGGTACTTGTTCAAGTGTGTCCTCTAGTTAAAGCTAGGACTGTGATTCTGCAGACTGTCATCCACAAGAACAGGGGATTTTGGTGAATGTTTTTGTTTTATTTGTCAATATTTTTCTTTTCTTCTCTTGTAGGATGTATCAAGACAAACTGGCGTCTCTAAAAAGGCAACTGCAACAACTTCAGGAAGGTAAATTGAATCGGCTTACAGTATACAAAATTGATATCGGACGCTAGCTAAAGGACCACCTTAGTTATACTTTGTTGCTGTCATCTCAAAACTCATAACTCCATTCTTGTCTATTTTTATTCACCCATGGATTTATTTAGTAGCCTTTTACATTGTGTTAACATTGGCCCATGATGAATGGACCAATACAAATGATCAGTATGTCATTTAATTAACGAACAGTTTTTTCCATCTCCAGTTTGGAGGAGTTTTGTTATAACAGCAACAGCTCATATTCTTCAGGATTTGAAAAATGTTTGTTTATTAAGCCTATAATTGAGTGCTTTTAGACAGTTATTGTAAAATGAATGCTTAAAAATGCTAATGTGACCCGCAATTAATAGAGGCTTTCAGGGCATTAATCGCAGCACTGCTCGCAAAATGTTATGCTGCTCATTTCAGTGAATTGTTATACGGTCACTGATTATAATAATACACATACAGGGTGATTCAAAAAGATTCATCCGAATTCAAAGTGCCATATTTTTACCACCGTGAGGCGCCTAGGAACCAATCACATACCAATTGAAATAGAGTTTATGACTGTCACTGGAAGATGGCCCCCTTCAGTCTGAGAGGAGATGAGACCCCTGAGCAGAAAGCGTTCAGCGTTCTCCTTTTCAATAAGAGTGAATCCGTCATAACTGTGCAGTGTGATTTTCGTCGGCAGTGAAGCTCCAACAGCTCAGAGCGTTCGTCGTAGGTTCCACAACACTGGATATTCTGGGAAATTGCACTGAAAGAGCCGTGAGTGCAGCGACACCCGACATGCTCAGTCGAGTATGGGATGAATTTGACTATGCCGTTGATGTTGTCCGTACAGCTGGAGGAGGCCATACTGAGCACTTGTATAATTACATGATAAACTTTATGCTCATTTAAACCATTTACAATTTACTGCATTGTTCTGTAACGATTTACAAGTGAAACAAATCATTTTGTAATCGGATGAATCTTTTTGAATAACCCTGTATAATAAGCCTGTATGTTTATAATATGAACATCAGCATGTTTCATACTTGTTGGGTGTCTCAGGCACTCTGCAGGAGTATCAGAAGAGAATGAAGAAACTTGATCAGCAGTATAAGGAGAGACTCCGGAATGCAGGTAAAGCAAAACACATTATCATTATCAGAATTTCAGATAGCTGCTTTAAAGCTACATTTAGGTGGCGAAGCTCACATGCAGCTAATTGCAGGTTGCAATTTGCACAAAACATCATTTTTGTTTAGCTCGAAATTGAATAAAGCAGTTCAAAAATAAACTAAATGCAGTACATTTGAGTATTCCACTAGTTAGCACTACCACTAGGTACTATGTTCTATATATTGCAAATGAAATCCTCTGCAGTGTGTTCTTTAGCCTACATTGGGTTATTCTCATGAACGTGACAAATACTGGGACCCAACCTGAAAAATTAGAATGGCTTAAACTACAACTTTATGAGAGATACAAACATGTCTGATACAATAATATATAATAAATAATTAAACATAAACCTCAATGATTTAATTAATGAATTTGCTAAATAGATTTGATCCTAAATAGATGTTTACTAAGTGAGCAAAGTAACATTAGCACAACACAGTAAGATTTGAAGATGTATCTGTAAATTATGCTTTTTTCCCCCCACACAATGTGTAAACTGTTGTTGTGGGACTAAGTATTTCAAAGCTAATTATTAAAACATATTTATCAAAATATAGCATTGTTTTATCTCACTACTGCAACAAATTCACAGCTATTGAGTTTTTTTTTTTTGGTACTTGTGCCACATTATATTTTATTTTTCTGGTCCACATCTTTAAAGTTTACAAGGAAATCAATGATATAAAAATATACAACCGTTAAAAATAATACAAGCTCATTTTTTCTAATGCAAAATGCAAATAACGTTTTGCTGTACTATATAGAGCTCCAAATGATCCACTAAACCCCATGTGTCAAACACAAGGCCCGCAGGCCAGATCAGGCCTGCGATACAATCCTGTCCGGCCTGCAAAAGTATTTTCATTTTCTTTTAATATTAGCCTGTTTCACAATGCGCTTCACTACAGTCCCCAGCATGCACTCCAACGTAATATGCACTCTGATCTCCTGCCCTAACAAGAGTCTATGGGACAGCGGTTACACCTCAGTTCAACACAGTTCTACACAGTTCCACACCAGTCATATCACCAAACACACTAGCCGCATTTCAGCTGCAGTTCAGCCAACATAAACACTTAACGTCAGCTCAGCAGCTCAGAAACTGAGCCCAAGTCTTAATGAACTTGCAGCAAAGAAAGGATACCAGGGATCTAGTTAAAGCAGATAGGTAGGTTTAACAGACCGAGCACCTGGAGACATTTAATGTGGAATATTTCAAGTATTCATGTAATATTTCAAGCTCTATTACAAGCGCCTGTAATTTACTGTTGAAGTTTTTGCGTATTTTAAATAAACAATGGCCAGTTCGGGTTACAGCACAACATCAATTAAGAATGAAACATTTTTTTCTGGCCCAAAGGTTTGTAGAAATTTTCTAATATGGCCCCTTTAGTGGTTGAGTTTGACACCCCGTCACTAAACGATAAGAATTTTCCTTGTCTATGTGATGCTTATGACAAATGTATCCACATTTTTTGTCTGTCATTTTTATGTTAAGAGAGAAGAAAATGAATCAGCTACGTATGTCATAAACAGTAGCTTAACAAAGCAGAGCAAACAGCTGTCATGTTACCGTTAGCTCGTTGAGGTAATGGGCGACCAGCAAATGAGAAACATTTTTCAAGAGTGTTTCCTCCGTTTAATCCCCTTTGGCCCATAGTTTCGATTGAAATCAGTTGGTTGACATGTTTTTCGATGTGACCATATGGTACGTTATCTGCTTTCTGATTGACTGTTTCATGAAACATGTTTCATAAACTTGAGACAAATTACAAACGTGGGTTGCAGTAGGCTTTACGCTATTCTACGCAAATGAAATTTCGTCGGGTTGCACAATAATAACGGAATCACAACGGTATGGGCAGGTGCTGATGTCAAGCAGATGTTTAGATTTGATACGTTTCTTAGTGAAATATGATGATTTAAAAGGTAGCTGTAATCATGTAATCAAGCTTCTATAATTCTAATATCTGTATCTGTATTTCATCACTACAATCTGTAGCTACTTAAAAAATTGAGTAAATGTTTTGAATGGTTTAACCTCTGTTATATCCTCATGTTGACAGTTATCTCTGATTTTATGAGGTTTTTAAATTGTTTTATAGAAATTTTTTATCGAAATTTCATGCAACTAGAGTTTTCCTTTTTTTAGAATTGAGTACACTTTAATTTATATATATATATATATATATATATATATATATATATATATATATGTGTATATATCTATATATGTGTTTTTTTTGTTTTTTTTTTTGTTTCGTTGGTGGCAAAAGAGAAAATTGAACTGTTGGCAGAACGTTTTCCAGCACAGCTGCACTTAAAACAGTGGAATATCTGGTTTGCCATCATCCTCTTAACACCAACATGTAAACGCAGCATAGGTGTTAATTTTCCACCTGGAAATCTGAACACTAAAAGAATCTCTCTCTCTCTCTCTCTCTCTCTCTCTCTCTCTCTCTCTCTCTCTCTCTCTCTCTCTCTCTCTCTGTGTATTTCTTTCTTTCTCTGGGTTTTATAGATCTCTTCCTGCAGCTTGAGGTGAGTCTGTGATATTTAAGCAGTAAGTATATAACAATATGGCAACTTATTCAGTAGCTTATTTTCACCAAACGCTGAACGTGAAACATTTCTCTTCCTTTCAGACAGAGCAAGTGGAAAGGAACTACATCAAAGAGAAGAAAGCGGCGGTGAAGGAGTTTGACGATAAAAAGGTCGAGTTGAAGGAAAACTTAATTGCTGAGCTGGAAGAGAAGAAGAAGATGATAGAGAACGAGAAATTAACAATGGAACTGACTGGAGGTGAGCAGGAGATCAGACGAGGAAACTGCTTCTACAGCAACAGCATGAAAGCCTAGCTGTGTTTTGTTCCTGTCTCTGAGGAGTGAGATGCATTGTGTTGCCTCCTCAGAGTACAGTCATTTATGCTTTATGAAAAAAGGAGAAATGATGAAAAAGAGAGCGAAAGCTTTTAAGGTTCTGGCTGCAGTGTTTGGGGTTAATGAGACAACCAATTAACACGAATCCTGTTAGCAGGGCATGAAGCTAATTCATTTATTCTGTTTTATTATTGATTTCTGTTCTGTGCTGCTGACATAACGAGCAAGAATTAGTCACTCACATTAAAAGAAATAAGAGTGTTTATATATATATTTGTTGGATTATTTATCAGATTCCATGGAGGTGAAGCCTATCATGACCCGTAAGCTGAGGAGGAGACCTAATGATCCCGTCCCCATTCCAGACAAGCGAAGGAAACCTGCTCCAGATATCCTTTATGACCATTACATGTCTTTTCCCATACAACTTGTCTCCACACGTGTGGCTTAGGACACCTTATGTCGAGCATGTTTTATGCCTTATAAAACAAATTCAGTCTTTAATATGCAAAAGTTTGGGCTCCCCTGGTTAAATTACATTATGTTGAAGGGGAGTTCACCAATTTTTGAAAGTTTCTGCATAATTCAGTGGTTAAGATGTAAACAGAGTCGTTCAGAGTGATTTGATGTGAAATGGTTCACTTTAGAGAAACTTTATGAATCAGTTTTCTCTGTAGTTGTGGTGATGGGAACCAGGGATTATGATGTGTACTTCGAAAATGTAGCGATTTTTGAAGCAGCAACAGTGTGTTTACATTAATAATGGTAAAATAATGGCAAATATGAAGAAAGAAAATTCTTTTTGGTCCTTATTTGACCTGTAACACCCTGTACGGGCCTCTCAATCATAAATAAATAAATAAAAAAATCTTCTCAGAACAAAAATCAAAGTCTGAGGAATTAAGTAACACATTCATAACCATTTAATGTAATACCTTTCAGTGAGGGAGTATTCAGAGGCTCTTCAGATGTTCAGACATCTGGTTCCTATCACTGAGAACAATTCTTACTGGTCAAGGTTCCCTAGAATGGCACATTTCACATCAAACCACTTTGAATGACTTTGTTTACATCCTAACCATTTAAATATGTGTAGATTTTGAAAAGTGGATGGAGTTTCCCTTTCAGAAAGCTGCTGTACAGATGCAGCGAAGCTCATCCAACCATACAGAACTTGTGCTACTGTTTTGTTCACCTTTAGTACTTTGATACGCTTTGTCATTTGATATATTTCAACTTGGAAATGCTGTTCTCTTTAACTCACCACACCTCAGCTGAACTACTTACTCACAGACGAGCAGATAATGGAGGACCTGAGGACACTAAACAAGGTAACATGAGTCACAATTACAGTTAGGCGTCTTGTTTTATTTCAGTCTTCAACATGTGTCCATAACCATTGATGAACTCACACATTTCTTTTTCTCCTTGTAGTTGAAGTCACCAAAGAGACCAGGTATGGTGTAAATCCTAAATCGCTGATGATTGACATGATTAGAGATTTGTGGGAACAGTTTTTAATGTTTACTCATTTATTTTTTATTTATTTATTTTTTTTAGCCTCCCCATCTTCCCCAGAACACCTCCCTGCTGCTCCCATGGAAAGCCCCTCTCAACGGTATGAGGCTCGGATAGAGGAGGGAAAACTCTACTACGACAAGAGATGGTATGGATAGCCTTGGTTAACTTAATCTTCATATAGAAACTAGCCCAAGTGACTGATAGCAAGTGATAGTTTGGCAAAAAATCAAAGCAATAAATTACACCCTTATCCCAAATGTACAGTCAGTGTAGACGTTTTGTGCCTGAAGTTTGCTTCTTTAGGTTTGCACTGAAGTTACAACAGTAATGTAGCTAATAAGTAGTGGAAGTCTGTACTCGAACTAGGGCTGAAAAATGTATTGTTTTTATATCAAAATTACAATACAAGTGCTATTTTCAAATTGCAAGAGCTGCAATTTTTAAAAAAAAATTATAGCCTAGATTATCAAAACCGGTGTTTTAAGTAGGGAAATGCTCAATACGTTGTGACATCACAACCACAACTTACTGGCTGTCTTGCACACTACTATGACGTCCACCATTGCATTGGTGCAGTGAAAAAATCCATCCATCCATCCATCCATCCATCCAATTATGTAGCCAAATTTCAGGAATCTTGAATCATAACATGCAGTGATGGACCCCATACAGACATATGCAAAAGTTTGAATACCCCTGGTTTTGTTGATTTTCAAAGTGGAAGTAAGTTACCGCTACAGAAAACAGTTTTATTATTATTTTTTTCCAATATGTTAAGTTCAGTAAATCGACAGCAAGTGTGCGTTAAAACGTGCAGAAGCATGTTCTCTGTAGAAGAAGTGTTAGTTTACATTTATGTAGAAAATCAACAAAACACATAATTACACCAGGGGTGCCCAAACTTTTGCACAGGACACACGCGCTAAGAGATCCTTGTACATTTTGACAGCTGTTGTGTCTCAGTGTGTTGGGCAGTGTTGAAAATCCATCTATTACTCGGTAGTTCTCACATGCAGCACTAGGTGGCACCGGTTAGCTTTGGTAATCTTACCGTAGCACAAGTCTGCGCTCGAGGTAAGGAGCGTCCTTTCATGGGTCAAAAAAACGGTAACACTGGACTGCGCATGTAATACATGCACAGTTGAGTACCTGTATGTGCTGTGGATTCAGTAGTGTGGACGATGCAATGATGTGGTATCGTTATCAGAGTAAATGACGTTGTGATGAGCTTTTCTGAGTGTATTGTATTTTGTAGTACTGACCAACTGCATATTTCATTAAAAAGAGGTTAAGATTGAGGCTCCCAGCTGGTGTAGTGGTTTCGCCCTGTACTCAGGAGATTGAGAGTTTGAATATCGATGATGCTGTCACTTTAAGAGAGCTTAATTAATATCTATTTAGGTTGATATAGTGATACACAGTGTGTAAATAATAATAAGTTCTTGTAAGCAATTAGTACCACTATGTTTTTTCCTGGCACATTACATATATTTCAGTATCGCAAAGCTTTGTGGGGGGAAAAATAGGGTGAGTCATATTTTGTATCTTGAAAATGTCTAAGACTTGTGATATTAATATTTTTGCTGTAATACTCACCTCTAGGATCCTTTGCCTGCTTTATGTTTCTATAAGTGGCTCTTTAAAGGCAGTCATTAAAAGTTGAATAGAAAATGGTTTGATTATGCAGTAGCAGCTTCATTTCTATTGGAGAGCGACGTCTGTCTGTCGTCTGTGGAAATATGAGTGTCAGAACTGCTTATGTCTGCTGTTGAGGGTATGATGAGGGCATGTATCCTGCCCAGCCCCTTGGGCAGTGAGCTGCGTAGCTGTGCTGTAGCTCTAACACGGATGAATAGTTCCTTTGAAGATAAGAGGCTGAGAGAGAGAGGAATAAAAGAATGCATTTCTGTCGTTGGGTAATGTTTAAGTGCGTCTGTGTAACATCATGAAAGGGTCAGTCAGGTACTGGGGATGGGCCTTGGTTATTAAAAAATCCACACTCATCTTATGCTTTATAATTACTTATCGCTGCTGTCGGATCAAAACCTCCTGTCTCCAAAATGGTAACTTTACAGGAGAAGGAAAAACCATGCTTTACTTTTAATGTAAGTCAATGGAACCAGACTTTTCTCCAAGTCATTTTGGGCCGTTTGTTTTGGTCCATTCATCATGAAATTTGCACACAATGTAAAGGGCAGCAGACTTTTTCAAATTATGTGAAAAACTGAAAAATAAAGGTATGAGGTTTTGTTCCAACAGCAGCGATATACTGCATATACTTTATAGCTATAAATGGTGATTGTTTTCAGTTCTACGTAAGGCAGCTAGAGTAGTTTGTCTAGTTAGAGTGTAGGGATGTGCTCGGGTGCTTGAGTACTCGGTTAACGGTTCAAGGTGCCAATATTAAAATACTGAAATCACTATTGGGGTTTGCGTTACAGTTTGAAAAGACAGAGAAAATATTCAAGCCAACAATTCAGTGAAATGCAATGATTTCGCTCATGTTTGTGAAGTGTGTTATGTTGTACACGATTGCCGGATTGCCACATTATTAAGGCACATACAGCACAGCTGTGTCACTATGCTAACTAATCGAGCTGATCTTAGATCCAGGAGCAATGAAAATATATTTCACTTAATACATAACATTGAAACATTGGTTACAGAAGAAAAAATTCTTGTGCCCATCTCTACCAGTATATCCCTTATAACCTTCTGTGTAGTCTTATGTCTCAAATATGGTAATAATTCATTTTTATTATCTCTCTCAATTGCTCAGAATTAGACAAGCTGTTTTTGTTACTGTGCCTTTAAGACCGTCAATAAGCTGTGTTCTCATTGGCTGCCCTGAACTCATCCTCATTCAGAAAGCTCTCAGAGCTGAAACACTCCAGCTTAATTGTGAGTGGGCGGAGCTAAACTGCTGTAGGCTGAGTAGGTGGGTAGATGTAAATGAGTTGGTTCTGATGACATCATAGAAACAGCGCATTCAAAACAGATTATTTATAAAGCTTATTTTCTGTATACGGACTGAGGAGCGAATGGTATGTTTTGAGTCTTGAACAATGTTTACAGATTGCTTCAACCTCCTTTAACTCTTTTAAGAAGTGAGGGTTTTTTCATGACGTGGGTTCTATAAATATAATACAGCCCTTTTAAAGCATAATGGCATTTGTTTGTGTGAGGCAGCGTGACGAACACTCATTGTTATTTGATTACAGTGTTCGAACGCTGGCATCTGGAATGCTCGGCTGAGCGCTTGAGTGCTAGGGGTCGATCGATCATTGGTCTGGATGGTAGTTATCTTTTTTCTGATAATAGTAATTGACATTTTAACTTGTTTCCTTGCATAAAAAAGGCTTTTATGCTGAAATGCATGTCTATAATGCAACCGTGATTGAAAAAAAAAACAACTTTTGGCCCAATACTCAGACCTCAGCCTTACTGGATTGGTTGAGATAAGTATGATGTGTTAAGTACAGCCAATCAACCCATCTTCAGCCTTTCTCAAAGTCCTGCCCAAGCTTTGGAATGATACGCATTTGTTTTACACTGATAACATTGCATATGAGCTTAAGGCCCAATCCCATTTCTTCTTTTTACCCCTATCCCTTGTATTTAAGTGTCACCCTGTAACTCAGTTCCAAGGGGTGGTGGTTGAAATCTTGCCCTACGAAATGGGACAACCCTCAGTTTCATTAACAGGCTACTAGCGCTGCTCTGCAGGCGACCCGGCCCATCTTCAGGGATAGCAGGGCTTTAGTTACATTTAGGGCATCATATGCCTTCAAAGAGGGGGGATGTGACGATTATTTATTATCGCCCACCGCTAATTCTTTGGTGATACGAAGCTGAAGTCAGATATTCACCAGCTTCTTGTTTGAATTTCCCCGTTCCACCTTAAATGGTGCAGCGGTTACATTCTGGCGCTTCAGGCGTCAGAACTGCTGGACTATTTAAGGAGGAACGGGAAAGTTAGCTAGCTAGCTACCGAGACATTGGCATGCTATTAGCAATGTTTTATGCTTGTTATCAAGAAAACGACCATAAAACATTGAAATGACATTAAACTAAGATGATACAGTGGTTATTGTCATTTTTTACCGGAGAAAATTCTCACATTTGTGGGTTTTGTTGGTCGCTCATCTTGCCGTTTTTTCTTTTTTTCTCATTTGTATCTCTGAAAAACCAACATTTGGAGGGCCATGTAGCCCTAACACTTCACCCTACCCCTCTATCTCAAAAAAATTGGGACCCTAGACGTGAATGCACAAAACAGAGGGCTAAGGGCTAAGCGGTAGGGGTGAGGGGTGAAATGGGATTGGGCCTAAATATGAGCACAGCTGTCACTCTTTACAGCCTGGCTAAAGCATAATGATAGTTCACTGATTTGTTTGAATTTATTTTGAAACCTCTCCTACTTTTTCATCATGTAACACAATAAATACTCAGTGTTTTCAGTATTTAAACACTGGCACCTGAAATGATAACCAAGTACTCAAGTACTTGTGCACATCCTGAATTCCAACACTGTTCGTTTTAAAATGTGGACATTCAAATAGCAAAAATGTCGAAAATGCTCTTTTTGATATACTTTCTGCAGTTAACTAGAGTTTAAGTGTGGTTATAAGTGTAAAAACAACGTTTGGCTGGTGTTACACTCTAAGCCTTTAAAACATTGATAGTGTGGCTGTGCTGAGCTTTGATCTCAGATAAACCCTCCTGCATTACAGAATGCCAGGGCTCTTCCCAAAGGAGCTGTACCTGCACACCGCTCTGAGGATCTGCACAGTCTGGAGAATCCGTAATAGACAAAGAGACTAATGTGTTTTTATTGTCCTCTCTCAGGTACCATAAGAGCCAGGCCATCTATCTGGAGTCGAAAGATAACACCAAGATCAGCTGTGTCATCAGTGCTGTAGGAACCAGCGAGGTTTGTCTCTTCATTTTCTAAAGTGATTCATTCAAAGCTAACAATAGAGTCTCTTCCAGCTAATGATTGACTCCGGCAGTGACAAATAGACAGTCAGATTGTGGCGTGTGCTCCTTATCTTAAGTGCTTAATTTAATCTTAATCTAAGAACTGTAGCTTAATGCTTTACAGCGTAGTGATGAAGCTGCTGCAGTCGTATTCTGATATTTCATGTGAAATCTTATTGAAAGGGGCACTCGGCCCGAAATAAAAACTTCAACAATTATCATATCTGTTGTAAACATATCTCCTCACCTCTTACAGCAGAGCCACAGTACTCTGTAGAGTGAGATGTTCCAGGTTAAAGACCAAGAAAATCCCATTCTGATGGTGTAGCTTGAAGGTGGGAGGAACTGTATTGGGGAGGATTTTTCAAAAAAAAACTCCAGCAGCACTGCTGTGTCTGATCCACTCAGACCAGCACAACACACACTAACACACCACTATCACATCAGTGTTACTGCAGTGCTGAGAATGATCCACCACCCAAATAGTACCTGCTCTGTGAGGGTCCATGGGGGTCCTGACCACTGAAGAACAGGGTAAAAGGGGGCTAACAAAGTATGCAGAGAAACAGATGGACTACAGTCTGTAACTGTAGAACTACAAAGTGCACCTATATAGAAAGTGGAGCTGATAAAATGGACAGTGAGCGTAGAAACAAAGAGGTGGTTATGATGTTATGCCTGAATGGTTTAGATAGACACTGTGATTTCATGATATAGGAAAAAAAACATTGTGGTTGTTATGGTGGGCAGGAAATTGCAAACACATTGTTGGAACCTTGAAGTGACTTGATGGGTCAGTTTCACCTTTAGCTCAGTGTAATATTCCCAGTGTTGGGCAAAAAAAATGTATTACTTAATGTAGTTATGATATAACTGAAGTTTGGGAGGAGGAACATACATGAAACACCTCCTTCTTCCAGTCTTGCGCCTATAAGTTCACATCTTTACCTTCCGGTCCCATGACAGTGTTCCCAGTCCCTACTGCTACCCCTTTTCCTCAGTCATCCATCAGTCCTGCTACAGCTATAAGGGGTTCTGGCCTTCTAGCTACAGGCAAAAGCTGCCCAGAGCTCCAGCCCAAGTTCTAGTACCACCACATGGTGAAAGCGTGGTCTGAACTCGCAAACCGACATTTTCCATAAGCACTGTGAAAAGTTATATTCCCAGTAAAGTAGCTTTTCGGTAGGGAAGCTGTTTTATCTGTCAAATTTTGGTGTATCATTAGTTTCCCCAAATTATATGAACATATTTTAGTCAGTGAAGTCGTGTTTTGTGTGGGGAGAAAACTGATGTAACTTTTGAAAGACTTTTACTATGTTTGGATGCTGTTTGAATAAGCAGCTCTTATAAGATAAGTAAATCTACATGTAATCTAATTATGCAAACTTGAAGTCAGTCAAGTTTGTCTGACAAGTCATCGTAAATCAGCTCAGTGGAACTGTTTCTTATGGAGGCCTTGGAGTCAAGTCACTCACGTTTAGCAGGCTGAAGGTTCTTCACAGTGGGGCACTGTTAGCAGTTATAGCTGTTGGTTCTTCAGAAGAGTGGTGCTTTGCATCAGTGACACTGTCCTTGTTAATAAACGGTTGTTAATTCTCCAGGGTATATTTTGTTTTTTCCATCTGAATTTGCATGACCAAATCGTAAGGCAAATTATTCAGTAACTGCATGAAATAAATGTAAATTTTTATTTTATTTTATTTATTTATTTATTTATTTAAAAGCTCCCCTCAAATTAACAGAACATGTTTTATGATCATAAACATATTGCTATATGCTTACAATTTACTGCTGAAAGCCAAAAATCTTAGACGCTCTTTGTATTATTTTATAAAAATAATTTTTACAGAGCAGATCACTGAAGAGACGCCATCTGTTTATAGTTTATAGCCCAGATTTGTGGAAAAATGGGTCGACTTTCAGTAGAAAAAAAAAATTGAGTTCAGCTTCTTTTATTATAAGAAGCTTATAAGTTTAAAATTACATCACCCATCTATTTGACTGGAAAGAAGACAGTTACAGCTCTCATACGACCCCCACCTTTTGAACGTAGCTTATGAAATATGAAAGTTATGAAGAATATGACTGCGTTTTGGAACCACCGGTGGTCTCAAGGAGTTGAAGAGGTTAAACTGTTGGAACAGGCAGCTCAATATAATCTTAATTAGCCTCAGAGATAATATCAATTATTAAATAGGTTTATTGTAGCAACTACTTGGCTGCATTTCTCTGAAGGATGGTATTCATTGAGTTAAGCCATTTATTTTGTAGAGTAAATTAGTTGAGCTTGCTGCCATTGCATTTTTAAGTAGCTTTCCCTACATTAAAGTATTCAATTTCTTTGGTTGTGGTTTAGCTGGAAGGAAAATGACTGCTTTGGGGAAACATCTTGGTGGTTGGTGTGGTGTGGTATAGGGGGTAAGACCTCTGCCCTCTACACTGTAGACTGGGGTTCAATCCCCCACCTGGGCAAGCACCTTACACTATACCAATAAGAGTCCTTGGGCAAGACTCCTAACACTTCCTTCGCCTACCTGTGTAAAAGTGATCAAGTTGTATGTCACTCTGGATAAGATCCAAATAATGTAAATGTAAACCTTGGCGTCTCCAGTGAGGGAAACATTTCGGTCAAAAATGATAAAAAGCGGCACTTTCAGTTTATTTTTTTATTACCTAGTAGTTGTTGTGTTTTAGTATATTGATTCAAAAGCATAAATAAACGACGAATGAAAAACTTTTTTTTGGGTTTTGGTTTCAGTGTGTCTTGAATTTCAGTTTCAGTCAGGAATTTTCATTTCAGTACATCGCTAATTTGGGCATTTGGCGCAAATAGGACAGATCTAAAATGGGCTTCTCAGCCAGTCTGTGCCTGAAATGCTCCTGTAAAGTTTTGTAAAAGTTTCTTTGTATCGTTCCAACACAGCATTATTTATCAGAACATGGAAGGTTTAAAATGACTTGGTGATTAATTTTTTTTGTATGTGCTTTTGTTTCAGATTTGGGTGAGGAAGACGAGTGACAGTACGAAGATGAGGATTTATTTGGGCCAGCTACAGCGAGGAGCCTTCATCATAAGACGCCGTTCAGCAGTGTAGATGGTCAAAGACTTTCTTCCTCATCCTCGTCCTCCTACGACTCTTCTTTTCTCTTCTTTTCCTTTCTCTTCTCCCTACCAGAAAGAAAAAGAACAGAACTCTGGATCATTTCTTTTTGATACTCTCCTCTCCGGTGACCTTCTGTTTTTCAGCCACTCCTTCACAGGCCTTTGCATGACTATATTAACTTCATCAGAGGTTCATTCTTCATCCACAATCATGCTTAAGGACACAGTCTAATGCTGGTTGAAGAATATTCCAGAGTTTGCTTGGAACGGGGAAGTGGGGAGTGTCAGGGTGAGAGGATACATTTCATTCTTAATTTCTCTTGTACAGTTTTGTGTATGACTTTTTTGTACATTTATCTGTCCGTCTGATTAAACTGGGTCTGGGAAACAAGCCCATACGGAATGACATTTACAATCTCTGAATAGTTTGTTCATATTTTCATTGGTTGTAATCAACTGTGAAATGAAAATCTCCATTTCGGTTCATGATGGCATATAGATTGGTAGCATCTGGAAGAAGAGGCGTTTAAACGATGTAATCTTCATGAATGAATGGGAATATTCTGTGATGTAAATAAAAATGGCTATACAGCTGTCTGAATGTGCTTTTAAAATATGATGTGCAAACCTTACTTTGTATTTACATTGAGTCAAAATAAATTGGGCTACGATTCAGGAATTAATGTGTTTATCTTCGCAAAAGAAGTCAAACATATCGATACGCTGCGTCTGGTACTGGACCTGGACTGGCCTTGTGCTCTGTGTCCTTCAGAGCGTGGGGTTGCTCTCTGAAAGGATTCCTTGAAACTCACTTTTGTTTGTTTCAGCCTCTTGCATTTACTGTTTGTTCCAGACAGCACCTCCGCTGACGCCTCTTTTCTTTTTCTTTGTCTCCTGTCATCCGTTCGCCAGGCGCTGATGACTGTGCTTTCCTGCCAATGATGACAGTGTGTCAGGAAAGGCAATTATTGTTGTGAGGCAGCGCTCAAATCTCAGTTGTTTTTCCTTCCTGTTTGCAGGTTGAAGACATGATGGCCTTTTTTAGCAAGTTTAATATTGTAACAACATGACTATCCATAGTAAACACTGTCCGTGAATGTAAAAGTCCATCAAGATGTTTTTGTTGTTTCTTGCAGATGGAACCAAAAGAGCTAAACAGTTTGATTAGAAATGATTGGTGACTGACAGTTGGCAGGGCTGATTGATGTACACCGATGAGTCAAAACGTTATGGCCCAAGCAGCTCTGACCACCAGAGGCAGGGCCCTGTGGTGTCTGGCACCAAGATGTTAGCAAACGATCCTTTTGCAAAGTGGAGGCACCATTGATTGGACTTGTTGTTCCAGCACATCCACCAGTTACTCGATTGGATTGAGATCTGGGGAATTTGGAGGCCGGGGTAACACCTTGAACTCATGTTCATCAAACTATTTCGGAACAAGGTGTACAGTGTGGCAGGGGGCGTTAGCCTGCTGAAAAAGGCCACTGCCTTCGGGGAACGCCGTTGTGTGAAGGGGTGTGCCTAGTCCGCAACCATGTGGGCGTTATCCTGCTGAAAAAGGCCACTGCCTTCGGGGAACGCCGTTGTGTGAAGGGGTGTGCCTAGTCCGCAACCATGTGGGCGTTATCCTGCTGAAAAAGGCCACTGCCTTCGGGGAACGCCGTTGCCGTGAAGGGGTGTACCTAGTCTGCAACCATGTGGGCGTTATCCTGCTGAAAAAGGCCACTGCCTTCGGGGAACGCCGTTGCTGTGAAGGGGTGTACCTAGTCCGCAACCATGTGGCTATTATCCTGCTGAAAAAGGCCACTGCCTTTGGGGAACGCCGTTGCCGTGAAGGGGTGTACCTAATCCACAACCATGTATAGGTAGGAGACACACAACAAATTGACATCCACAGGAATGCCTTGACCCAGGACTTCCCAGCAGAACTTTGCCCAGTGCATCACACTTCCTCTGCTGGCTTGTCTCGTTCCCACGTGCATCCTTGGTGCCGTCACTTTCCCAGGTAAATGCTGCACATGTACGCGGTCGTCACGGGACTCATTGGACCAGGTGACCTCCTTCTGTTGCTTCAAGGTCCAGTCCTGATGCACATGTGCCCATTATAGATGTTGCTTCATCTGCCTTGATCGGGTGCCCACTGCTCGCCAGGCTTCTGGACCAGTGTGACCACCATGGAGCTTCCCACAAGAGCTAAAGAAAGCTTTAAGTCCTGTTTATCTGGTTGGGACACTCTTGGTGGTCTACCAGGTCTTGCAGGTGGTTGCTAGGAGTCCAATTTTCTCTGTAGCTAATTAGTTTTTGGAATTTTTTCCATTTATCTTCCTTTGACTTTCTACTTTCTTGTGCAGGTGTTTTATATCTAATCTATTCTAAATAAATGAAGGGTCTCTGAGTTTTGGTTCAATCCCAATATATTGTCAATACTGATATTATTTGGATATCGCTGTGCGTCTCTACAAAGTACTTTGAGGACACTGTACGAGATAATTTAACGCTGAACTGAGGTGGCTTTTATGCTCTGTGCTTTTACAGCATGTCCTTTTTGAACAGACAGGCAATTCCAACAGCTTTTAGTAAAGGTGTGGCAAAATGTTTTTTTTGCCGTCCCCACTGTGTCAAATGGACAAGAGAAATGCTTTCTGAGGGGGACAGTGCACCTGTAAGCGCGACAGGGTTGTTAAAGCATCACATGGATCGATTCCCTCCATTTCACTCGTTCGTGGCTGATCGTCTGCAGATGGAAATAAAACACGTTTTCATCGGTTGAAAAAAAAATCCATTATCAGACACTAAATGACACTAATCTGAGAAAATGGGCCTTTCAAATGGGTGCTGTTTTGCCTTTTTCACATTTTATTGCTCTTGTCCTATAGGACCCATCTACATAATACTAATCAATCTCTGAACTAATCAATGGGATGTGTTGCCTAATTACTACAGTGAGTGGTGGCCTGGGGAACTGAGGCGGCTTTACTGAGCACATTATAGCAATCTGTTAAATGTTTATAATGTTTATAATAAATAATCCCAAATTAACTCAGAAAATGATCCTGAGATTTACTATAAATCTTTAACCCTGTGTTTGTTCTGAAGAGCTAATTTAACCTCTTTTCACCAGAAGAGTTTAATGTCTGTCATTAGAGGAACTAGAGCTGTGTTAACTGGCCCACCGAACAAAAACCCACCTATCTGTTTGTCTCTCTCTCACTATCTTTCTTTCTTTGTCTCACTTTTTCTTTCTTTCTGTATTCCTCTTTCATTCTTTCTCTCCCAATTTCTCTCCCATTCTGTTTTTTCCTCCCCTTTTTCTTTTCTTTCTCTTTTTTTCTTCTCTCTACTTATTTTTTTCTATCTACGCCTTTTATTTCTCTCTCTGCATCTCTCTCACTATTCTTTTTCTTTCTTTCTTTCTTTGTCTTTTTTCTCCCTTTCTTTCTCTCTCTCCCTTCCCCCTCTCTTTGTGTCCCTCTAATTCCCATTCTCTCTTTCTCTCTCCTTTTCTTCTCCCCCTCTATTTTTTCCCTCCTAGTTTTTCTCCCTCTCTCTTTCTCTCTTCCAATTTCTCTCCCATTTTCTTTCTCTGTCCCTGTCTTCCTCTCGCTCTCTCTATCCATTCTCTTTCATTCTCCATTTTCTCTTTCTTTCTCTCTTCCAGTTTCTCTACCTTCTTTTTTCTTTCTGTCTGTCTTTCTTTCTGTCTCTCTTTCTGTCTTTCTCTCTCTCTCTCTGTCTCTCTCTGGTTGTTAGAATATCAGTTCTGCTGGAGCAGGTATTAAGCTGTCCTGGTGGGTCATCGCTCCTCTCCCAGCTGACCTATTAGAGGGAAAGTGCTGGTGGCCAAGAACTCTATTGGCTCCATGCATCACCTGTTTAGGACACCAGATTTACTGGTCAGAGAAGTCCAGAGGAGATCTGGGGATTGAATGTTTTTGTTGTACATTGTGCTGGAGGGAGTCTAGACCTGATGGATTTGTCCAGCCATATTAAAGCGCTAACGCAAATCAGATTTGTGTTCTCTCTAATGCAGCCGATCAGCCAAGACATGTTTGGTGTCTGAAGTTTGCTTCTTTAGTTTTGCACTGGAGCTACAAGGCTAATGTAGCTAACAAGTAATGGAAGCTTATACCCCACCAGTTAGCATTTGATGCAAGTGTATTAGAGATTACCTAAAGGGCACATATATGTGTATGTATGTATGTGTATGTATGTATGTGTGTGTATATATATATATATATATATATATATATATATATATATATATATATATATATATATATATATATATATATATATACACACACACACACACACAATGTTTTTGTGATGTAACCAAGAAAACCAGCATATTTACATATTTGCCTTTTCAGTCTACAGGAGTTTAGCCCTGCCTACTCACGCTGAAGTTGTAAGAGATATTTCAGCTCAGACTGCTTTACAAACACGTTGCCAACCAATTAGAACAAAGCTAATTTGCATATATCTGTCATAAAGGCACAGTGACAAGTAATAGAGATTATAAGAGGTTTAAAAATGCTCTTAAAAATGAATTATGACTGTTTTTAGTACATAAATGCATGTAAATGTTATAAGTGGACTCCAGGGAAAAATTAAATGCAAGATGTGCAGAATATGGGCTGTAGAAACTGGACATGGTTTAGGGCAAGTGTGTGTGGTGATTCAGGAATGCAGTTAGCAGAGATTGATATGAGGCTGACACAGCGTGTTTAGTTCTAAGGCAAGTGGTGAATATGAGCTGCGGTTTGTGCTGAAGCTGAAAGAACTGAACTTATGAAGGACAATCTTGTGTAATCAGACTTGAGAGCTTGGACAGCTGTGCTAAAAACAAGTAATCATGATCGTCAGTACTGCGTCTGCGTTGAAAAGAATCCATAGACCTTTGATTCGGACTAGTGCATTAGCATCTGGAAGTGTTCAGCAGTGCGGAAAGTGGTTTGATGTTTAGAGTTTTCGTCTTTAGTTGCATGCCTGAATCATTATACAATGTCCAAAATAAAGAACGTAACCATTGCTATTTCTCTTATAAACTTATTTATATTATTGACATCCTGCATTGGTGCTGCAGTGAGATTTTCCTGTTAAAAGACTACAAAAATCCCCTTCTGATGATGTTTCTTGAAGGTGGGAGGACTTTTGAAAAACTGCTGCCCCATATGGAAAAAATGTACATTCCAAACATATTTAACAAATATATTTTGCAATGTATGAAAATGGCCAAAGTATTTGTTAATCATATTTTTTAAATATATTTATTCATGCAGCTCCAATTCCAAAAAAAGTTGGGACGCTGTGTAAAATGTAAATAAATGTAAATAAAAACAGAATGCAATGATTTGCAAATCTCGTAGACTCATATTTCATTCACAGTAGAACATAGAACACATATCAGATGTTGAAAGTGAAACCATTTCATGCTAAATTAACTCATTTAGAACTTGATCTCAAAAAAGTTGGGACAGGGCCGCGTCTACCATTGTGTAGCATCCCCTGTTCTTTTAACCACAGTCTGTAAACAGTTTTGGTAGAGGAAAGGCTTTTAAACTGTGTGCTGATAACAAGCTGAATGGTCCCTTTCTTCCTGAGTCCGCAGGACACGGCGTCTGTGGTTTCCTAAAAGAATTTCAAATTTTGATTCATCTGACCACAGAACAGTTTTCC